ACAGCAGCAGCAGCAGCAGCAACAACAGCAGCAGGAGCGAGATAGGGAGCGGGAACGGGAGCGTCCGCGGCGAGCGGAGACCTTGGACAATGCCCGCAGCTATATAGATCAACAGCAACAGTATCCCAGCCACCTGATAACCAGCAGCAACATGAAGAAGCAACACTCCTACGACAGCAGCTACCATCAGCAACAGCAACAGGCCTTCTACCAAAGGCAGCACAACAACAACTTCTCCTCGAAACAGCAGCAACAGTTGATGCTGGAGCAACAGCAGCAGCAACAACAGGCCTTGTTCTACAGATCCTTAAAGCGCGGAGAACGAGGGGCAGCTGGCAGCGCTGGAGCCACCGGGGGAGGAGCTGCCATCACCAACCACAGCGATCTGTACTCGGTGACGGAGTTGTAGGAGTGCGCCTGCTGCGGCGGCGGTGTGGATGTGGTGCGCCGAGGCGCCTCATCCACATCGCTGCACGCGGCGGCGGCCACACAAACTCAGAGCCACAACCAAAACCAGACGCAATCGCAGAACCAGGCGCCTGTCCCCCTGCCACCCAAGAAGCATCGCCAGCGGGAGAGGGAGCGGAACCTCGAACGGGAGCAGCAGGCACCCTGCAATGCCAATCTGTGCGAAGAGCACGAGTACGACGAGTACTATCCGCAGGCCTACGAAATGCAAGCGGGAGGAGGCGTAACCGGAGGAGGAGCAACTACTAGCTCTGGATCCAAGCATGGCAAGCAAAGTCAGCAAAGAGCAGCCACTTTTGATGTCGCCGATGCCAGGGATTACGAACTGAAGCGTTTAGGCAACCGGAGGTCGCAGCAGCAGGCGGCTCCAAGCAAAAGAAATGGAGGAACAGGAGCAGCAGCAGCAGGAGGATCTGTCAGCCAGGATCACCACCGCAGCCACGATCGCGAGCGGTCCCGCAGCGATCACCGCATTGCCAGCTACGCCTGCGAGGAGGTCAACTCCACGGCGCTCTGCAGTGCCGGCTCCATGAGCTCCATGCTTCAGCCGGCCAATGGAACCGGCCATAGAAGCAGCAGCCACCAGCGGGATCACCATCAGCGGGATCAGCAGCAACAGCAGCAACAACAGCAACAGCGAGAGCGCCGTGAGAAGACCTTTAAGGTATGATTTTTAGAGACGTCATAAGAATTGTCCAATCCGCGCCAGGACAGCAGAAACGGCAGCTCCAGGCGGCGGACGCGTTGAGGGGTAAATGGAAAGCGAACGTGGCGGATTCTACAGCGATTACAAGGAGGTGAACCCCCAGGAATTGAGGAAGCATCTAGGAGAAGTGAGCAAAGGAGCGGCACTATCGTGTTGGAGCATAGGAATTCGGAGACCCCAGCCTGTTTTTATGTTTAGCTTAAGTCGCATGTACTCTATCTCTATCTCTGTCCCTGTCTTAAAGCGACCTGTCTCTTTCACACGCGTGCGGACACGTACATCAGCAAAGAAACGAACACACACACACGTGTATATATTTACGAATATATATATACATATATTGTAAAAACCGACCTCTTCTGATTGATTCAAACTGCGAAAGCTGCTTAGAAGGTGCTGAAATATCCAGGGCAGCGATCAAAATGATGGTACCTTGTAGATCCCAAACCTTTTTCGTGTACATTTAAATTAATCTATTTTTGGTAGGAAAAATATGCAGTAATGAGACATTTAGCATTATGTATATGCCATTTATACCAAGCAATATTTAAAATCCCGTTTTTAATGATTTTTTTTTTAGATATTTTAAATATATTTTATAGATTTTAACGTCCATGGTGCTATTATTTTGACCGCTGCTGTGCATACCAGCCGTATACATCAAACCCACAACAGTTCTCTGCTCTGTGTTGTTGCCTATTGTTATATATATAGTAGATAACTGCGATTAACCATAACGAATACTTTTTTGTGACCACTATTCATACGTGTATATTTTAAAAGCCTAAGTTAAGTAAAATTTAGTTCTAAGCGCAAAGCTATTTATTTACGACAGATTGTAAGCCTCAAACTCAAAAAATATGACCTAAAACGGGGGAAAAGCGAAGAAACAGTTGGCAAACGATCACTAGGAGCCTTTGAACAAAAGCAGTTTTAGTTTCAATGTTCCTAAGGATCGAATTTCGACTGTAAGTCTCGCTTTTTCGTTGTCAACGGAAATTTTAATTTTCAGAAGTGTGTGTGTTTTTGTTTATTTATTAAGACTTTTTTTGCATAAGCGATTTACGCCGTTTTTTTTTGTTTGAGAATCCGTTGCGAGAACCAACAACAACAACCACAGCGACACGTACGTAAAATTTTTGTGACGTCAGAAATCTAAAGAAAAAAAAAAACAAACTAAGAAAAACCAGCACCAACAACAACAAAGCACAAGACAACAAAACACAAGAAAACTTAAGCGAAAAACATTTCACAAAACAAAACATGATATAAATTTAAAGCTCAACATTTTAAACAAGCAAACGACAACAAGAAAATGAAAAACTCTTAACTCAAGCAATATGAAAAAGGAAAGATTAAATCGAAATCGAAAAGAAGCCATACCAAGTTGTTCAACTATTTTAAAAAAGAATTCAGCAAAGCAAAATGATAAACAAGGAAACATATATACATATACATAACATACATTAAATACATACATACTTATTATAGAGCAAGCATAAGGAATATTAATTAATCGACAACAACCACAAACAATGTTCAGGTCAATAACTGCATTTAAAAGGAGACAAAAATGATGGAACCCTCGTTAGGCGTTAAATTAAACGAAATGCTCTTTTTATATACAAGTAATATATACATGAATATATATAAATATACATATTTAACGAATTGCAATTACCCAAAACACAGAAAGCAGACAAACCATCAAACACAAAATAAAAGAACAACTCACAAAAGTTGTTGGCACAGAGGCAAACACAAACAAACACATTTTATAAAAATTAACATAATTATACTACACAAAATACAAGACACACAACAAGCGTACATGGAACCAGTTGTGGGCAAAATAATTGTAGTGCCATTAGAAATTCAAAAAATTTAATAAAATGTAAATTATGTAATTTATAATTTAATTTATGTTTTACAAACGTATTTGAGGGTTATGGTTTAGATCTTGAAGCACCATATTTTATTTATATATATATATCGAAAAAACCCATTCAAACGCCCCAATTTTAGACAAATAGTTTAACCAAATCTGACTAGCAGTCTGTTGCACTAAGGCCACACTATTATTTTGACCACAGCTGGGCACACAAGCATTGAAATTGAACACTGCAAGTGAGGGAAATAAAGCAAGCTACAAATAATAATTCACATTTATTCTCTCTGCTGTGCAGATGCAAATAAAACGAGGAGTAAAAACAATTCAACTATGTTGAAAAATTGCAAAACGCACACACAACACACACTCGCCAATCCTCCGTCTCTTTCGCTCTCTTGTTCTGTCTATCTCGCTGTCTCGCTCTGAACATTCCACCCCCGCCCACATTTCCATTGTAGTTTGCACCGGAAAATATATGTATTAGCCAAAGTTAACACTCGAGGGGAAAAGTTAGTTGATGAAATGTTAGAGCACTCTAAGATATAAAGAAAAGCTGTTACAGGTCCTGTTCTCCTGTCCTGTATATATATACGACCGATCTATTTAATTCTATGAACTAAGTAGTATTGTCTGTGTGACTGTTTGTGTGTGCGTGCGATGTTTGCAATTATTTTAAACGTTTTTTTTTTTAAATCGAAATTTGAAAAGCAAAATGTTTCAATGTTTCGTATGTAGTGTAGTGTAGCGTAGACTCGACTAAGCGATAAGGCCAAAATAGATTTTAAAGTCCGAAAACAAGGCGGAGGATAACGAATCGAAGGGAGAATACCAAAAAAATTGCAGGAAGGCAGGCAGGCAGGTATACAAACAAACGGAAATTATTAAATAACATTAAATCAAACGCAATTAAACACGAAACGTGTGTAATACCGAAAAAGACAAAGAAAGTGTTTCCACGTTTTAGCCATTGAAAGAAGGGGAAACTAGCGCACTTTTTCGTACTTTAACTGACGCAACACACACCATCTATTAAAATGATATTAGAGTGGGTAAAAGGAGAGCAAGCAGCCACGTATTCCAATCTTATATAGTAAACGAGAAAGTAAGACGAATTTTAGAAAAATCAGTTTTTACGTAAGGTTAAGGCAAGACGATATTTCTGGTTTTCCCCTCTTAACTGCCATTTCCCATTTCCCGCCCACAAATCCCACAGCGAATCGCGTAACGAGTCCCCAATCCTGTTGACACATTTCAGTGCATATTATATAATGCATATATACATATATAAATAAACCAACTAATATATACATATATAAATACATAATTATTGTAATAACAATAAAAGTCTGTAAATTTGTTAACATTTCTAAAGCAAACAAGAAACTCAAGTACGATCGAGGCAAGAGAAAAATTTAAAAACGACACCCAGTAGATGTAGCTAAACCGAATTGCAATTATACAAGAAAGGAAGCTAAGTACGAGCAAAACGAGCCTCTCGCGCAAAATCATCCAGAATGTGTGAATTATATAGAGTGCAGATCGGTCGAATCGGAATCGAAACAATTGTTGAAAGCATCCGCTTTAAAATCAAAACAAAACAAAAACATTTAAAGAAAAGAAAGCAGAAAAATGGAAATAATTATATAACAGTTGTGAACAAATTATATTTACATAGCGTATAAATAAATTGCATAACAATTGATTAAAATACATAAAGCACCAAGCGTCTTTTTTGCCCTTACCGAATTTTTATCGAAAAAATTCAAGTTCGTTAACAGTCATTGGCTTATCAATAGTTCTGCCCATTACATATTATATTTATGTTATTTTATTTTTCAACTTACGCGGGCTTTTTTCTGTAAGTAGATATATGGTTCTAGTCCTCGCTAACTGTCGATAGATTGGGTTGAGTCTTGATTATCCTCTCCAAAAATCGGAGTATTCGATAGACGGCTATCGGAGTTGTGCCCATCTTTATCTGGACTAAAGTAAACAACTTAATTTAATTTATATTAACTTTTGGGTGGCATTTGTGAAGTCAATTGATATCCGGGTGTTGCACTTCTGAGGGATCCCAAGACAAGATCAGATCTGAACCTGAACCCACAGTTCGCGCTGGGAAGTACAAACTTGGCCTTGCCTTGGTGATTTCCACGATCATTCGTGAAATATTTAATATATCGCTGAGTAAATGGAGCGGAACACAATGGAACACGATGTTAGCCGGTTCCAGAGTTTCCTTGTCAAGGAAGAAGAGGCCGATGAGGAGGATGAGGCACACATGCTACTAAGACCGGAGCTCTACGACGAGGAGTTGGCCTTGGAACGGGAAGAACAAGAGCTCGAGGAGCGGAATCTGAAGAACCCGAACCACCTAGGCGGTAAGATAACTCCCCCCATTAAGTCCATTTAAAAACCCGTACTATCTCCCGCAGGACTCGCATCCTTCATCTGCAGACACTGCCCGGAGGTGTTCTTTAGCAAGAGGGAACTGGCCGCCCATCGACCCGTTCACCGGCTTAAAAGTGGACAGACGAAGTCCACTTCGGAGCTGACCTGCGAGGCCTGTGGAAAAGTCTTCCAGAGGCGCAACGCCCTCGTGGACCACATGAATGCCCACAACAGCGAGCGGATCTACCCGTGTCCGGAATGTCCGGCTCGCTTTGTGCAGCGCAGCAACCGGGACTGCCATGTAAGGAACACCCACAGGAAGGAGTACCTGCACTCCTGCCCAGAACCGGGCTGCGGGCGGCGTTTCCAGCAAAAGCGGGAGCGGGATCAGCATGTGAAGTCGGTGCACCGCAAGGAGCGGAACTTCGTTTGCGACACCTGCAGCGCCAGTTTCAGCCACCCCGTAAATTACAGGAAGCACTTGGCTTCTCATAGCTCTGATAAGAACTACGGTTGTCCCATTTGTGGCAAGCTCTTCGGACGCCCCGAAAACCGGGATGTTCACCTCTTCGTTCATAGTATTTGTAAGGCGTACGCCTGCTGCGTCTGTGGAGCAGACTATATGCGTCGCAATCAGTTGATTCGACATAGTTCAGAGACTGGTCATCTGAACGACCCGATTGTTCGACAAAAACCCCAGTTTAGTCCGGCCCTTGCTCAGAGACCCGCTGCAAGGGATCTGGGCCAGAAAGCTGACTATCCTGCGGATGTGGAGTGGTCGCAGGAGGAGGACGCGGATGCGTTTCAATGGCCAGAAGGGGAGGACCCCGTCAGCCGAGAAGACCTGGGGGACTCGCAGGGAGATCACAGGATTACAGAGGACGAAGAGGAGTTGTTCGATTACATCTCCATTATTTAAGAAGGTCAATTAAGGTGCTCAATCAAGAAAGTTAGAACTGATCAGGTTAGTTTGAATCGAATATTAAGGAATAACTAACTATTTTTAAATTAAGAAGTTGAGATCAAACATTTTCTTAAAGAATGAATCAATCCAGAACTAGTACTAGTAAACTTTCTAATTTAATGAAATCATTGTAGATATTAAAATGCATACATAAAAGTCATAAAACATGAACAAATTAAAGGCAAACCTTGCAAGTTTGCTTGTTCCCTGAGTCATGAAGATACCAAGAATGAAAATTACTTTAAAAAACGTTAAATAAATGATTGGATTTACATATAGTTAAATTTATCAATAAATGATAAAGCATCAGCAAATATTACCGCATGCAAAACATGAACCCGAGACGTGGGTCAAAAATCAAAAACAAAAGAAAGAAGAAAGAAGAAATAAAAAGTGAATGTCGCTGCTGCTGTTGCACTTTAATAAAAAAATGTGAAATGAAATGTGTGGTCTCACCTGTCCCCTTCCCCTTCCCCCTCCCCTCGCCTTCCCCTCAAACCTTTGGAGTGGGTTGAAAATTAACAAAAATCAGGCGTAAAGCCCATAAATAAGCAAAGCGGAAAGGGGAAAACATAAAAGGGGAGGGGATTAACAACAGGTTACAACAATTACGACGAAATGAAATTATTTAACACCTTTTTATGGCTCATTTCGCAGTTAATGTGTGGGCTATTTTAACCCTTCCCTCTGGTCACCGTTTTAAACCCGAATTTTGCACTTGATTCCAAAGTTTAATAGGTTGATCATCGATTATCGGTAACCAATCGTTAAGTCCGCCATAAGTTTTTTCTTCCCGCTCTCTGCATTGTTACCATACGAGTCACATTTTTGACCCTTTGTTAACTGTCATACGAAAATTATCTAATCTATGGCTGTTGTTCGCCTTTCAGTTGTTGTGCCTGAATGAACTTGTCGACACAGTTAGGCTTCCAAGAAAGAAAGAAAGAAGATTGCCCAGAGGGTAGGGTCTTACGTAAGCCCTGACCCTGCCCGAAAATATTTGGGGGATTACCTCAACAACAGCTTGAGTGCTTCTTTGAGTTTATTATTCGAGCTTCAGCGGGGTATTTGATATATAAGGGTAAAAATATTATAAATATATCCCATATTAAATATTATAGTGACTTGTTTATACTATATTATATTTTATATCCATTAACGTTCCGACAATGTGTCTTTAGATAGTATTCATAGTTTTGCAGTCACCACTCAAATTGCTGATTAGCTTGGCTTCTCCAAATAACTTATTTGTCTAGCTTTATATAATGACGAAATTTCGAGCCTATTCATAGATATAAATAATTCCCATAGAGCCGCATAAAGAAATACAATACAATGAATTTGATTAAGGTTGGAAAAACCTGGCCAAAGTGTGTGACGCGTTTTCTACTTCCCTCCCAAGTCACGTCTCGCTGGCCGTATTCAGAACGCTTCCACAACGGATGTGAGATTCAATTAGACTTTCAAGTTCACCTCTGGGCGTAGGTCAAGTCGTTCGAGAGGAAGAGATCCGATCTCCTGGTGTGATCATGATCCACTAATCCGATGCGATCCGATCAGAGCCTATCAAGCTGTCATCCTTTCACTTTTGTTACGTTGCGCTGCGTCTTGATTTCTTTGATGTAGGTCAGCGACTTAAGGATCAAATGCCCAAACTGGTTCGCTGGTAAAATCGCTAAGATTGCGCAACGGAGATTGGAATGGGAAATGGGATGAAGTTATAGTTATGATTAATATGGAAACGGACCGAGGCGGGGAGTGCGTTGACCATCCATCATCCGGAGGTGAATGGTGCAACTGAGAGCTGAACAAGTGGACTACGCGTAGAGTGCCATTTCGCGGGGAATCCACTTGGTCACAATTCTGCTAAATTAATGGGGCTCACCCACTTTCAATGGAGTGATACTTAGAATACCAATTACCCTTTTTTTGAAACCACTTCGCTAGTTGTTCAGAACTTTTTATTTTTACTCTATTTCATTGTTCCTTTATTATCCTAATCTATGCAATGATAAATCAAATAAAAAATGATGGAACTTAAACCAAATAAATTAGAGGCCCAAAACTACATTTCCATAATCTATAAGTTGGGTTATTGAATTCCGATTATGATGTAAGATACCTCTATGAATTTGTGGTTGAATTCCGTAACTTTCTAAATTTAAATATTTCTTTTCAAAGAGTGTCAAAATTTTAACCCATTCTCATGTTCAATTTTTCTATATTTCCTATGGGGTCCTGAATGGGAGACCAAAGCTGCACTTCTGGATTCCATAACATTAGTTATTGTATCCCGATTTAGACGTGGGATACCTCTATGAATTTGTGCTTGAATCATCTTACTTTCTATATGAAAATTTTTCTTTAAAACGATGGTCAAAATTTCAACCCATTTTCATGTCAAATTTTTCCATATTTCCTATGGGGTCCTGAATGGGAAACCAAAACTGCACTTCTAGATTCCATAACATTAGTTATTGTATCCCGATTCACACATGGGATACCTCTATGAGTTTGTGGTTGAATTATCTTACTTTCTGTATTCCAATTTTTCGTTTAAAGGATGGTCAAAATTTCAACCCATTTTCATGTCAAATTTTTCCTTACTTCCCATGGGGTCCTGAATGGGAGACCAAAACTGCACTTCTAGAATCCATAACTTTACTTATTGTATCCCGATTTAGACGTGGGATACCTCTATGAGTTTGTGCTTGAATGATCTTACTTTCTATATTAACCGTTTTCTTTAAAACGATGATCAAAATTTCAGCCCATTTTCATGTCAAATTTTTCCGTACTTCCCATGGGGTCCTGAAAGGAAGACCAAAACTGCACTTCTAGAATTCATAACTTTAGTTATTGTATCCCGATTTAGACGTGGGATATCTCTATGAGTTTGTGCTTGAATTATCTTACTTTCTATATTAACATTTTTCTTTTAAACGATGGTCAAAATTTCAACCCATTTTCATGTCAAATTTTTCCGTACTTCCCATGGGGTCCTAAATGGGTGACCAAAACTGCACTTCTAGATTCCATAACATTAGTTATTGTATCCCGATTCACACATGGGATACCTCTATGAGTTTGTGGTTGAATTATCTTACTTTCTGTGTTCCAATTTTTCGTTTAAAGGATGGTCAAAATTTCAACCGATTTTCATGTCAAATTTTTTCTTACTTCCCATGGGGTCCTGAATGGTAGACCAAAACTGCACTTCTAGAATTCATAACTTTAGTTATTGTATCCCGATTTAGCCGTGGGATACCTCTATGAGTTTGGGCTTGAATTATCTTACTTTCTATATTAACCGTTTTCTTTAAAACGATGATCAAAATTTCAGCCCATTTTCATGTCAAATTTTTCCGTACTTCCCATGGGGTCCTGAAAGGAAGACCAAAACTGCACTTCTAGAATTCATAACTTTAGTTATTGTATCCCGATTTAGACGTGGGATATCTCTATGAGTTTGTGCTTGAATTATCTTACTTTCTATATTAACATTTTTCTTTAAAACGATGGTCAAAATTTCAACCCATTTTCATGTCAAATTTTTCCATATTTCCTATAGGGTCCTGAATGGGAGACCAAAACTGCACTTCTAGATTCCATAACATTAGTTATTGTATCCCGATTCACACATGGGATACCTCTATGAGTTTGTGGTTGAATTATCTTACTTTCTGTATTCCAATTTTTCGTTTAAAGGATGGTCAAAATTTCAACCCATTTTCATGTCAAATTTTTCCTTACTTCCCATGGGGTCCTGAATGGGAGACCAAAACTGCACTTCTAGAATCCATAACTTTAGTTATTGTGTCCCGATTTAGACGTGGGATACCTCTATGAGTTTGTGGTTGAATTATCTTACTTTCTGTATTCCAATTTTTCGTTTAAAGGATGGTCAAAATTCCAACCCATTTTCATGTCAAATTTTTCCGTACTTCCCATGGGGTCCTGAATGGGAGACCAAAACTGCACTTCTAGAATCCATAACTTTAGTTATTGTGTCCCGATTTAGACGTGGGATACCTCTATGAGTTTGTGGTTGAATTATCTTACTTTCTGTATTCCAATTTTTCGTTTAAAGGATGGTCAAAATTCCAACCCATTTTCATGTCAAATTTTTCCGTACTTCCCATGGGGTCCTGAATGGGAGACCAAAACTGCACTTCTAGAATTCATAACTTTAGTTATTGTATCCCGATTCACACATGGGATACCTCTATGAGTTTGTGGTTGAATTATCTTACTTTCTGTATTCCAATTTTTCGTTTAAAGGATGGTCAAAATTTCAACCCATTTTCATGTCAAATTTTTCCTTACTTCCCATGGGGTCCTGAATGGGAGACCAAAACTGCACTTCTAGAATCCATAACTTTACTTATTGTATCCCGATTTAGACGTGGGATACCTCTATGAGTTTGTGCTTGAATGATCTTACTTTCTATATTAACCGTTTTCTTTAAAACGATGATCAAAATTTCAGCCCATTTTCATGTCAAATTTTTCCGTACTTCCCATGGGGTCCTGAAAGGAAGACCAAAACTGCACTTCTAGAATTCATAACTTTAGTTATTGTATCCCGATTTAGACGTGGGATATCTCTATGAGTTTGTGCTTGAATTATCTTACTTTCTATATTAACATTTTTCTTTTAAACGATGGTCAAAATTTCAACCCATTTTCATGTCAAATTTTTCCGTACTTCCCATGGGGTCCTAAATGGGTGACCAAAACTGCACTTCTAGATTCCATAACATTAGTTATTGTATCCCGATTCACACATGGGATACCTCTATGAGTTTGTGGTTGAATTATCTTACTTTCTGTGTTCCAATTTTTCGTTTAAAGGATGGTCAAAATTTCAACCGATTTTCATGTCAAATTTTTTCTTACTTCCCATGGGGTCCTGAATGGTAGACCAAAACTGCACTTCTAGAATTCATAACTTTAGTTATTGTATCCCGATTTAGCCGTGGGATACCTCTATGAGTTTGGGCTTGAATTATCTTACTTTCTATATTAACCGTTTTCTTTAAAACGATGATCAAAATTTCAGCCCATTTTCATGTCAAATTTTTCCGTACTTCCCATGGGGTCCTGAAAGGAAGACCAAAACTGCACTTCTAGAATTCATAACTTTAGTTATTGTATCCCGATTTAGACGTGGGATATCTCTATGAGTTTGTGCTTGAATTATCTTACTTTCTATATTAACATTTTTCTTTAAAACGATGGTCAAAATTTCAACCCATTTTCATGTCAAATTTTTCCA